GAGGAGGAAGCGGCGGCGGCGCGGCTCGGCTCGGCAACCACCCGCCCCGCTGCCCAGCCCTGCTCCCCTCCTTGCCTAGCGTGCCTGGCAGTTTCCGAGCTGAGCTGGGGTTAGCTCTCGCCTTCCTCTTACGCTGCTTGGGATCCTTCATTTTCCATATCGCGTAGCTTTTCTTTAGATTGACCACCTCGGAAGCCCCTAATATCTGGTCAGATCGGACGTCCTTTTGTCCTAAAGCAAGCGTGGCTCTAGTGACTTTCGTGACTATCTTCCTGTATCAGCCTTCACAGGCTTCTGCACGTGACAGGCAGTCTCGCTGGAACCGTAATAATAAAGAGAATAAAGCCAAGGCGAGGGTAATGCCTCTGTTTTTCCCTGTTCCTGAGCATAGCAATGAGTTGTATCCTGCATTTGCAACTATTTCATTTTAATTCGCCATTCATTTTAGGGGTAGCAGTGCCAGCTTGAACGCCTCTTTGCTTTCAGTCAGTCAGGACTTGGCAAACTTAATGGTTGCTTTGATTGTTTCTAGGATTAAGTGTCGCAGTTCACTGGCTCTATCATGTAATGCTGGGTTGAGCTGGGTCTTGCTATCCGTCTTGTATGTGTGTATGTTCATCTTGTTCCAAACAGGCAGGTGCTGGATTGGTGAGATGTGTTAAATGAAGTTTCCCTGATCAGAATTGCTCGCTTTCATAGGTTTTATTAAGTGATCAAGCATAGGTAAAGACATTGTTCCTGTTTGAGGATGTAATTAAATAGAGAAGAACTAAATTCTGCAAAGAAAAGCTGAATTTGGAGAGAAATAAATAGCATGGCAACCCTGAGCTCTTTCTGCGTGTTCAACATCTGATTATACAAATGTTTTTTCTTCCTGGGGCCTGTCAAACTCCCATTCCACCTTAGTAGAAAGCAATTTCAGTGGCACTGGGCTTACACAGCATCCTCCACTGAAGGCTCTTAAATTACAAATGCAACATACGAAACCTCCTCAGTAAGCCTCATCTGGGAGAGGAAAAGACAGAGGCAGAGACAGAATGTGCTCAAGGTCACAGAGGAGTTCTCCAGCACAGCTGGGAAAATTTGCCAGAGCTGCGGTGTCCTGACCTTGGTCCTCACTTGCCAGACTTTGCCTTCCTGTCCTAAGACGACAGCTGGAGTGAGCCCAGCCCTGCCTTCAGGGGATGGCAGGCACCTGTCCTTTAGTTCCCCTTGGTAAATCTGGGCCCATACATCACTCATTTAGTAAACAATCTCTTTATCACAGAGTTTTTCGCTGTACGCAAAGATGTCAGGAGGATGACTGGGTGTTAGTGTGCTATCAAGAAGGATGGTAAGGAGAACTTGGAGACCTATTGCGATGATCTTTGCAGCTGCCTCCTTTTCTGATGCATGCTAATTTATAAATAGCCCCGATCCCGCTACTTGGAGAAAGCTTTCATTTCTCCTTGTACTTGATGTATGTGATACTCTGCAGTGGAGAGCAGATGTTTATACCAGATTCTGCTCCCATGGAAATCAGCAGTAGAAGACTTGGAGGCGAGAGGTGAAATAGCATCAGGGTTATCTACTGTCCTCAGCTCAAAGCTCCTGTTACAGCCTGTCTGAAAGGCCAGGAGACGCCCTTGGACTTAGCAGCATAGTCTTGAGCGCATGCCAGTGTCTCTGCTGGAGATCAGCATCCTGTTGTTTGCAGAGTCCAGTTACAGCTAAAGCTGAAAAAGAAGTCTATCTGTCTGTGTAAACAGGAATTTTCCTCAATTGCAGGAGCCAGCAGAGGACACTGGCTTTGAAAGGGCTGAGCATTCCTTTTCTTTTGTTCCTTTTGCTGCCTTCTTCCTGCTCCATGACTCTGCTGGCACCTTCAGCAGAAGAACAGTTGCTGTCCCTTCCTTCTTATCCATATCCATCAAAGGATTTTCTTTTCCAGGTTGTTTGCTGCTGCCGAAGCTGTATCAATAATGCTCCTGTATTGCTTTACTTAAGAGAGGGAAGAAACAAAACCACATGACAAATTGGTCTAATTTATCACAGCAACAGAAACCTGCAATTCAGCTAAATCGCCCCCACAGGCCAGCTTAGACAGCGTCAATATTTAACGACCTGAGCACCGCTGCCTTCGCAGCTCCAGCTTCACCTCTGCCCCTCCTCACGTCACAGTGTGCCCCCCCAGGTTTGTCAGTCCCCCGGTGGGGGAGGGCACCCCTGCACTTCCTCCAGGGCAAGCAGGGTCTCTCTCCAGGCTGCCAGGGCAGGCCTGCTTGCTATCTGAGTGGCACAGCCCAGACCTGCTGGCTATGACCAAATTCTGACCCTTTTCCTACCTGGCTGGACTACCTGTGCAGCACCTTTATGCCTGAGTAACAGCTCCCAGCTTTCTGGGTGTGCCTGTGGTCTGTGACAAGCAGACAAGTGGCAGCAGGATTGGACCCATCTCAGCTCACAGCCTCTCCTACAGTCTTTTTTCGGGTGATCGTATAACCCAGACCGGACTGTTCACCTGGTAGCAGGCTGGAGGCAGCTTCTGTTCAGCTGTTTACATCTGTTCCCATTGTTCAGGCAGGAATATTTTATCCCAGAAGGAGCTGCAGTGAAATAAATTGCCAGCAACATGTCCTGCATGTGGCGCAGGAGGACCTGAAAAGAGGATGAACTAAGCTATGCCAAATCCCTCCCACCCGTGAGCAAAGGGGGGCGCACGGGGATCTCTTTTGCTGGGCCCAGACTCCAAGCTGGCCACAGCAACTGGCATCCAAGAGCATCTCCCAGCTCTGCCCTGGCATGCTGCAGTGGCTCCTTTCTGGCTTGCTCTGCCTGGGACAGTAACGGGAACAAGTGACAGGTTAGATGGTTATATATGGCCATAGGCATGTTCCCTCACGGCTCTCTTGCCTCGGTTTCCTTGGTCTGTAAAATTGAGATGACTGAGATCTCCTGGCGACAAGCACAAAGTAAGAAGAGGCATTTTTATTTATCAGGGCAGTGGTGGGGCAGGGGAATTTGCACTGCCAAGCTGGTAATAAACCACCCAGCAACTTGAATTCCTCCAGCAAGACTGCACCTTCCACCAGCCTCTCTGTTCACTTCAAACCCCCCATTATTCAGCAAATTGCATATTCCAAAGGGGGAGTTCATTATCCACTCCAATGGCAGTGAGTGGCAGATGCCATTACAATAAATGGCTTTTTGGTAAGATGCCTCTATAATGCCCTTGGTATTTAACACTGGCCAGGGGTGCTCATACATCTCCTTACATAAAATACATTAAGCAAAGCATCTTTGTGAACATCCCTCTGCGCTAAAGAGCTGTTATAATAAGGGTGATTGGGAATAAACATAACAGCAGAGGCTGCTGTCTCAAAAGAGTTGGGTCAGTGGCTGCACAGCAGAAGGGACTATGATGTGCACAGAGGACTCGCGTATTTGCGAGGGAACAGCTGGCTTGCTGCAGTTCATCCAGAGACACTGAGCCTTTTCCAGCACCAGAGCTTGGCAGCTGCTGGGGGGTAGCTTCTATCCCCTGGAGCGCTTGGTGACTGCCCCCCAGCCCCTCTACTCTGGTGGTTGTAGGGCACCTGTGTTGTTACGGGCATGGCCTAAAACTAATAGCAGGGCTGTGCAGAACAATATGTAACTCAACAGACACATGCAAGTGCCCTGGCAAATAGTTAATGGATTGTTCCACCAGTTAACTCTCCAAGAAAAGAGCTGAGAGCCAATTCAGTGCCTTCCAAATCACAGTTCTGCTAAAAAAATTAACATAGAGCACAGCTCTTCCTCTTGGCAGCTGTCCAGTTATTAATTTCAATGTATCAGCTGCATCTGAATGGGCTTGGGCTTCTGCCCACTATTTCTATTTATTTGTTTTCCATTCATCTCCACTAAAATTAAAAATCAAAACCTTCTAGAAAGAATGGAAAACAAACATGCTGAACCAGTACTGCTGCCCACATAAAACTAGCAGAATTCACTGCACTTTCTCCTTGTCTGCAGTGAGGTAAGATCCAATTCTTAAGACTCTCTGGGCCTTTCACCTAAAAACAAGTGCAGGCACTTACAGCACTAGCTGCAGCCTTGAGTTCTCCTCGCTTTCTAAGCACATCGGTAAGCAGCAGCCTTCGGCCCTTGACTGTAGGTTTTTACTGTGTACTGGGTCACAGTGACTGCAGAGGCCCTGTGCTAGAGACCTTTCTGGATTAAACAGCATCTGCACGGTTTAAGAAGACAGAGCTGATGGTCCAGATGGTCACACTGAGGCTACAGTCCCATGTAACAGTTTGGACTGTGCCCATGTTACAATGCACTGCATTGGCTGTGGAAAGAACTGCATGCTTTTAAAGGAAAACACATATAATTCAAGAATATTGGCATTTTTTTTCCTCCCCTTGCTTTTTCCCTTGTTGCTATCAAGCAGCTGGTGTAGGTTCCTCAGGCCAAGCTTTGCCTGTGCTAACAGGAGTTAGCTGTTCTACCCTGCCGTAAGCACACAGCCTGCCTAGTGCTTGCTTGACTTCTTATTGGTGTCTTGGTTTGTTCTGGACCCATCTTTATCTCAAAGTACATCACCTGATAAAATGTTTTGCTATAAAATCCCAGGCTTTTACAATGGCATGATTCTTTACGCATCTGAGTGTGAATAAGAACTGAAAAGCCAAAGGTTATGAACTTACTTTTAAAGTGATACAAATTACAAAATATCCTCATTTACAATTACAGTATTTAAATCTTACTTGCAACAGCACAATCAATAGGATCTAACTCTTGATGTACAGAAGAGTTTCTTAATAAGTAAAATGCACTAAAATAAGGCTTTGGTCTTTTTCAGTACTTTGTCTTACAATTCCAGTGTTTTCCTTCCTTAAAAACACATGCAAGTAAATGCATAGTGCAAGGTAAGTCTAGTTGAGTAAGGAATTCTTCTGCCTGTTATCTAAAAGGATTTCCTTCCACCAATAAATAGAGTTCCCAGTTCTGCATTTAGGGCATCATCAGGAATGACATCATCCTCCATAAACTCATCTCCAAGCTTCTTCCACCATGGCCAGCGAGTGTATTTCAGCATAGTGTTGTGGGATTGCCTTGCCTTGGTAGCTACAGGGATTGATCGACTCATAAAGACATCAAGATCTTTTTCTGTGGTCTTTGCTAACCCTGGAGCACCTGTAAGAACAAGGAGAAGAGTTTTCTGTATTTTGTTTGCAGTTTTATGAGTATTTCAAACAAAAAAAGAAGGAGCACTACCCTCCCACTTCCCACTGTCCTAGGTCACTCCTTTCCCCATGCTGGCATTACAATTTTATGGCTGCATGATAAACCTGATTGGAGAAGCAATCCAAATCAAGGCTAATCTGAAAAAATAAATACATAATGTGGGAGGGAGAAGAAGAGGGGAAAGCAGGACTACATCATTCAGGTGCAGTGGTGGCACCCACCAAAATGACTTCTTGTGAAACTATGACCTAAGAGAAAGAAGAGCTCCTGGTTGCTACTGCTGGATCAGCGCTCCTGACACAGGGTGACATCAGCATAGTGTTTCCACTGCTCTGGCACAGCAGCACTGTGTATTCCCTGCCTGGGGGACGCAGCATAGTGTAAGAGTGTGCTACTGATCTGCCTGTTCAGGGAGCGATGAGCTGCAATGACACAGCACGTGACAGACTAAATAATGGAATTCAGTAACTTGCTGAATTTTGTCTGGGTTGGGTGCTCTCTGGTGGCTGCAGTTTGCTATTCTCGCTCTTTCACTCCAGGCTACTTGTCTGGAATTAAGATAGCATAATAGTGAATTCCATTTCAAATAAAGCCAGGCCAGAGAAAATGAAAACATGACTCGGAATTCATAGCTCAAAGATTTCTCTCTTTATCTGGAAGAGGTGAGAGCGCTTCAACCAGTGGGTTACTTACAACACAAGAAAACAGAACAAAGCAAAACAAGTACATAGGAAGAGATTGTGTGAGATCCCCTTCTTAGAAATTTTAATGCCTTTTACAGGGCGATTGCTTTTTCTTGTGAATGTATCAGAGCGAGACTTTTAGTAGAATAAGATGCTCCTTGAAAAGCAGGTGTGTATACTTAACCTACAGCAATACTCAGATAATCTCTAACAAAGCCTGAATCTCAAGATAAGGCATATGGCAAAAGAAGAAAGATATTTCAGATTTGAAATGAGGCTTTACCACTGTTCCCTCTAATTTTGTCTCTAAATTAGTTTAATCCAAATGGTAATCAAAACTATGACCAGAGCAGACACATACTCATTAGCAGCTCCACATCGGTGTTGACCTGAGCCAGTAAGGCCTCTCTTCGCTGCGCTGCTCTCTGATCTAGTCTGCTCCTCAGCAGGAACTGTGACAGCTTTTCCTGGGCTTGCATATGTAATTCTTTACTCATTTCTTCTGACATTTGGGAAGCCTGGAGGAAAATAACAGTTTATTATCATTAGGAGCTAGTTATTTTAAATCTTTTGGGGGCAGAATAATCTCTAAACAAGGAATGCAAATGCTGTTCTTGTTAACTTAATAATTTTGCTTCCTCTGCAGCCCTCTCCAAAGCTATCCATCATCAAGTATATAAATTTTCCAATTACAGTTTGCTTTGACCCTTTTTATTAGATTAATGGTTAAAATCCCCAATTTCCTAGTGCCTTGCTGTCAAACAAGCAGGGTTAATATATGCATACCTCACATGGATTATCTTGATCAGAATTTATGAAGCTGAATATATTTCATCCCTACAGTATTTTATGTTGCATCATTAATGCAAATTATGAAATGACTAAGAAACAGACCGGATGCAATTTGATGTAGTCATCCACCTTCTGCTGCAAAGCTAGTCTCTGCTCATCAGTCAGTCCCTTGGGATCTTTCCAAGGAGAGAGAAGTCTCCTCCTTCTTCGTTTTTCCAAGAATTTACAAGCCTTTGTAAAGAACATACGAGAATATAACAATCACAGGCAGGAAGTTTGATTTCTTGCTTTGTTTGTAATCAATCAGTGAAAGAAGAATGTTTCAGTACTGCATCTGTTAAAGTGTAAATTTAGCTATATTGCTGAAAAGGCAACATACAACGGTCAGCATGAATACTAAATAGTAAGTAAGAACTCTCATAATACATTACTGACTCATCTGTAGTATGGTGAAATTCCAACCTTAGGTGTCAAAGAAGTAGCTCTTGTAGTTTAGTTACAGGACTGTATTAGGCTTTGTAACCTATGCAAGGTTTAACCTGTCTCAGCACCTTGTGGCTCTAGACTATCATCCTCCGAATAATTTTTTAATAAATTATGGCTACATTGACAGAGAATAAACAGAGCTTTTTGAGGGATCGCAATAATCCACTCAGTCCTGTCTAATGTTAGAATAAAGTATATATACTTACTGCTCTCTGAATGACAACAGCTGCTTTATACTCCTTAAGAGATTGTTTCTGTTGATGAAAATTTCTTCTTGCTCTATACCCTCGCCAGAATCTCTGGATAGTTAATGCTGATTTCCCTTCCATTTCCTCCATGTACTTATTTACCTGACCTACAAATGTTACAAAAATCCAGTTATAAGATTGTGGGTTTGGATCTCTTAACAATTTACATTTTTAATCCTCAAACTAGATAGTACCAAAAAAGCTTGGGTGCCATCAGTTAAAACCCCCCCTTCCTCCAAGGTCCGCTAGCTGTGGGCCACATCTCAGAAACTTGTAGCTGCAAGAGAGCTTTGTAACACAAGAAAACTTGGTTTCCCTTTCTCCTGCACCATTCTGAAGGCAGCAGATCTTGATCAGTCGTTACTGAGCCCTTGTAGAACTAGCATGTTCTCTGTCAGATAATTGGGTCAGGAGAAGAGGCAGTAAGACTACAGTGCAAACAGATATGCAAGATTAGGAAATATATTTGGGGAAACTATTCTTAAGGAGACCCAGACACTTTAATCTTCTGATATAGTTTAATATAAATCATACTGGCATGGATTATTTCCAGTAAGGCCAGCTGTCGCTCATGGAAGAGTCTCATGGCCCTCTGTCTCTGAAGTTGCATTTGCAGTTTTAGAGCCTCATCTTCCTTCTGTTTTTTTAAATGCTGCAGCTCCTGTTGCCGTTTAGCTCTGCAATACACAAATACATTAACAATTAGCTTAAGTTGTACATTTCTTAAAAACAACTCTCTCCTTCTGTTAAATGGCCCAGCATCAAGGGAGGAAATCCACAAAATAATCTGCCATCCCAGCTGCTGGCTGCAGGACCACACCAAGCAATGAGATATCACCTGCAAGCTAACAAATTACCACACTATCTATCACCATGAAAAATTTTGAGCCAGTCATTTAATCTGGTATCAAATCAAAGGATATATTTTTACTTAGGATAAAGTTCTAAGGACCCTGAAGGGAACAATGTTCCATGTGGGACATTCACAGCCAGCATGACTAGAACATCTGAGGAAGAGGTAAAGCAACATTAGCTGTCTGCTCCAGTACTCACCTTTTCCAGTGCATCAATCAGCATGTATGGCACCTGCTTTCCATAATACATTCTATTATTTTTGTACCGACTGCAAGAGTAGATCAGAATGTTGGCTGTTAAGGCTCACTTCCTAAATTTGGAGGGATTTTTTTTCTCCAGGAAATCCAGCAGGAAATCCAGACCATCACATTTCCTCCATCAATTTTGTTAACAGAACACTAGGAAAGAATTTTCTTGTAAATTCTTCCTGATCTGTACTAGCTGTTGTAATTTGATGTTAGGATGTTGCCTCACTGTGCTTGGCATTGGAAAAGCCCCAGCAGATGTTTCACAGATGAGACAACTGAAAACTCTGTAACTGGCCCTGGAGTGTTTAAGCTAATAATAGCCTGTATATCAATTATATATACACACTAACATTAACATGGAGACTAATATATTAATACTAAATATACTGATGTATTGATACTAATAATTACTGAGACCACTTTGACATGGTTTCAGTGAAGCATGAGATGCTGTGAGCTAGGACTCCCCCTCCCTTCACTACCCCTTCTCATCCCAATGGCCCTAACCTCATTAGGAGCTTAACGCTTGAGACTTTACGAGTTTACCCTACAATGAGGTAATGATGTGACTCCTCCTCTTCTCCTATTGCAGCAAAATCACTTCCCTGCTCAGGACCTGAGTACCCCCACTGGGCCCAGAGCCCTGAGTTCTGCTCTCCTTTAGCACTTTTCCAGAGACAATGAAAGGAGCACCTTAAGCACTAGGAAAGAGAAAAAATTGACAGGGCACAGGCATAAGGGGTGTCAGAAAGGGGGGGAAAAAAAGCCATAGACTAGAACTAATGTCCAGCAATTCTGGTATTGCTGCATGTCACATACCTTTAGACTTACAGTACTATTGAGTTATTTGTGTGTTTCCCATCGCTAGTATAAATTGAGTTGTAATTTTTCCACCAACCATACTTTCTCCTCGGTCTCCATAACTGGGTGGGGAAAGGTGGGATGGAAGCTATTTTGTGGAAAAGATGCTCTGGATTTAAAGATCTGGCCTTAACTGATAAAACAGCCTCCACCACAATCTGAGAGACCATAATTCTTTTATGACAGTAATGCAGACTTGAAGTGTGCCCACACATCTGCTTACACAGACAGATGATGATATATATGATTACATCAGAATGGTCTCAAGGAAACTAGAGGTTTTCCGCCCACACATTTCTGAGAATTAGAGCTGTAAATCTTTGCATTTTTAATCCAGGCAGGCACATATTATACTTCTAGGTGGAATGATGTCACAGGATCAAACAGGACTTTTGATGATGTTTTCTTGATAAAACTATTAATAATTTTCCCTAGAAATTTTTATCAGCTCCACTAGGTGGAAAACTACAAGAATGTTTCATGAACTTCTCAGATGTGCATCCATGAAACTACCAATAGTATCTGTCAGGTATTTAAATGTTTCGTTTGATACTGATTCTTTCCTGTGTAGTCTGCAAAACACATGCTCTTCTTCGTTCGCTGTTCCTCCTAATGATAAGACATATTTACTTGCACAAAACCACATTGTGAGAGGGAAATGCCTCTGAAGACAAGCAAAACACACACAGAGTAAGATCCAAGCTTCCTTCAGCAGTTCATGGTACTGATCAGCCTTCCTCTGATCATCGCTTTATATGTATAAAATGGTTTGATTTTTGATGCATGATTAATACAAATTATTGCTATTTTAACAGTTCTACAATTAGCTATGTAACAGTGAACTAACTTCAAGGAGAGATTACAGGCTTTAATATTCACCAAGGAGACATTTCTGAAACCACAGAGTTTCAGAAGTTTATAACTTGCAGAGTTTAAGATCTTCCACTGCAGCTGCAGGTGAGCCAAGTTTGGAGTTTCAGCCTTAGCAGTATTTAACCACACTTGTTCTAAAATAAATCTGTGAATATAACCAAAACCTGACTGTTAAAAATTAAAAAGTCCTCTTGCAAGCTTTTCTAAAGTCATGCTTACAGTATTCCAAACACTATTTTTCAGCATAACACTAACTGCAGCTTTGACCTAGACAGAAAAAAAAAACCAACACTGGAGCTGTACAGTTACCATATTTACTCAGTGCATTGGGACTGAATGAGCCATGAACACACACAACTGTAAGGATATTAATAGATTTCCATTCCTCTCAATATTAAGCAAACACATTCAAAAGTCCATTTAAATTACTCAAGAACTTCTTAAGAGGCATGCACTAACACTTACAATACTGAAAATATGACACAAGAAAGTCAATTATCTTGTTGATTGCCAATTGCTTCGCCATCCTTTCCCTTCTGCTTTACCATGTTATGTCTTAGCCCATTATCCAAGTTTTCTGGGCTATGATTTTGGCTTGCAACCTTGCAAGGTGCCTTATGAGGGCAGGAATATTGGTTCAAAGTGTATAGTGGAGTAAAAAGGAGTGACAAGGATGTCATTCTCTGTCTTTCAGCACAAATGCTGCAGTGGCTGGTGGCCCTCAGTAGACACACTGCTTGTCCCTGCAAATCTTCCAGAATTTAAAGATTACACCCTAGATAGTCCAAAATCTTCCTAATACCAGTCTAGACGACAAATCATAACTGTCTGCTTCTTAACACCTTGATCATAATGCAATGTGATTTGATTAATTGATTTCTAAGATCTAGTTTTGATACAGTAATGCTCAACATGTGCAAAAAAAGGTTGAAAAAACTTGCTGTGGAGTCTGAACTTGATCTAGATCCCTTAACCTATGTTAAATTTACACTAAATTTCTCAAAAGAGTTAGCCTAACATGTGCTAACATTACTGCTCAAATCCTACTTCAAGTAAGAGAAGCATTATTTATGTAGCTTCATTCTTCTGTGGTGCTCCAAGTCAGAGGATACTATTTTTAGGTCACTGAAGTGACTTCACTTCCAAGAGTCAAAGATTTCAAATATTAATGAAGAACAACATCTTGCAAGGACTATGGCATGGCAGATTGGAAACTCCAGGACAGCTCCACATTAAATTTATGGTGGAATTTTGTGTCAAGTTAACTGTGAGCCAGTGAACTGTTCTACCACCAGTACCTCATCTTCTAGTGCTATTTAGTGCAATCCCATGCTACAGCGTGACACACTTTTTTCTATATGCCGTAGATTTTACACAGAAAACATATAAAAGCATCATAGAAGTAAAGTTTTTTCATGGAGAAGTCTGGCAGCTGGGAAAAGGACAGGTACTGCTGGAAAAGCACATTGTTTGGATGTCTCTGCTAAAAGAATCTGTAGTGAAACAGCTCATATTGGCGTTACGTTACCTTTATGCCTCAGAAATAACAGCTGACTGGAAAAAGGCATCTTCAAGATGAAGGAACTCTTGGTCAGCCCAAACTTATGCCCTGGGACATGGGAGCAAATCCTCAGGGAAGCTATTTCCAGGAAGGACAGGAAGGTGAAATGGAATAGCCAGCATAGATTTATCACAGGCAAATCATGTTTGACCAGCCTGATTGCCTTCTGTGATGAGATGACTGGCTCTGTGGATGAGGGGAGAGCAGTGGATGTCATTTTCCTTGACTTTATCAAGGCTGTCATCACAGTCTCCCATGCAGGGCAGGGCTGACACTCAGAGGAACCTCCACAAACACAGAAAATGGGTCAACAGAAACCACATGAAGTTCAAATGGGAAGTTCTACACGTGGTACAAAATAACCTCATGAATGAGTACAGGTTGGGCACTGACTACCCGGACAGCAGCTCCAATGAAAAGGACCTGGGGTTCCTGCTGGGTGACAAGTTGAACACGAGCCAGTAGCATGTCCTTGCAGTAACAAAGGCTAGCTGTGTAGTGGGCTGCACTAGGAAAAGCAGAGGCAGCAGGTCAAAGGAGATTATTATTTTGCTTTACTCGGCACTCTTGAGGGCACACCTGGAATACTGGCCACACTCTACTGGGCCCCCCAGTAGAAGACAAATATTAACAAACTGGAAGGACAGAGACTGTCCAGAGACAATTAGGGCTATGGAACATATGATAAACAAGGACAGGTGACAAGATGGGTTTGTTTAGCCTAAAGGAAGGGAAATCTAATTTCTGTCTTCCACTACTTAAAGGAAGCATTACAGAAAAGACAGAGCCAGACTTTCAGAGGTGCACAGAAAAAGGACAAGAGGCAGTGGTGAAGAGCTGCAACAAGGAAATTCCCACTGGCTGTAATGGAAACATTCTTCACAAGGCAAGTCATTCAGCACCAGGACAAGGACCAAGTAAGATAGTGGGATCTCCATCCTTGGAGACCTCCAGAGCTGGATACAGCCCTGAGCAGCCAGATCCTGTTTTGAGGCTGGCCTTACTTCAAACAGGACACTGGATTAGATGACCTAAATTTTTCCTGTCACTCTGTGACCTGAGAAAAAACAAACCAAACCTTCTTAATAGATTCTTCTCTTTAGTGCTTTTTACAAAGCCATACGGTTTACCTGAAGCTCCTCTGTAAAGTGGTCACTGCTTGGGGTAGTTTTTTCAGCCTTTTCCTTGTCTGAAATCCCCTCCACATAGCCTGGATTATACAAGCTGCTTGATGCTGCCTCTGAAATTAATAAAGCAGTTGGTAGAATATTTTCTCTGCATATAAAAACACTTTATTACTGCTTGCATATTTGGAACAATCTTAACATTTGGCCAAAAACCATCAGTTTTCAAGTGCATCAAAATTCAGTATTTGTAACAGCTTGGGGAACTTAAGGTCTTATAAGACAGTTACTATCATGAACCCTGTACTTGCTCCAAGGCAGCTAATCTGATCATCTGGATTGATGCTCTCTGTGGTAAACAAATGATTCTACAGCACAAATATAAAATATATATTAGCTGCATTAATCAATTTTAGAAATTTGTATTTAAAACACCTGAAGCACTTGATATTTCAAACAGTGATTCAATCAGAATATCTACACTAGAGATAACAGAAAGACAAGTTTGGAGAACTAGCGCCAGGAAAAATGTTACATTTGCAGTATGATCAGAAGTCACTGAAATGCAAGAAACATAAAATTAAAATCAATGCTATCCTTAAATGGAATTTAAAAAAAAAAACCAAACCACAAAACACCTTGCTCTGTTGAAGATGAAATCAGGTCTCTAGAAACACAACCCCGATTTCCTTTAAAGTATTGTCTCTGAGAAACCTGCATGTAAAATTCTGTTAAGAAGTTCATAAAACACACATTGCCTTTTTTATTGGGAACACAGCCCAGAAGACATTCTTACTGAACTTTTCTCTATATGACTTAATTCTATGTGAATGCTGCCTAGAATTCAGAGATCTAAATTTGTAATACTGATGTGAGAAAAGCAGATACAGTTATTTTTGGTTTATAGTTAGCAAAACAAAATTATATTTTTTTTCCCCTACAGTTGTATAGAAATCTATGCTGAATCCACAACAGAAAGTCAATCTCTCAAGTCACAGTCCCATACCTTAATCATGGACAATTTCTTTATGTCTTCAAAGATGATGGAGGGAAAAAAATTAATAAATAGGAAATTTAAAAATCCATTAATATAGTGAAAAAATAACACAGGCTTTGAAAAGCGTCAACAAAGTGATAAAGTAAATCCATTCTAAACACAATAAATCACATGGAACTAGGATTTCACGTGCAAAAGTCTTATTAAACTTCAGCACCTGCATTTCTCCTTTTCCACTGGATTGTTCCAAGTACAGCAGGTCCAAGAGTTGACTGAGATCCCTGTCAAATCCTTTGCCAGTCCATTGTTTACTTAAAAGCCCTTTTAATCCTAAGAGAGAGAGAAGCAGCATGTATACCACTAAGGTGAATTTTTCTTTTCAGGATTTCAAACTAACAATTTTCAAGTCAAAAAATCAAATCTGATTCTATGTGCAAAGGAACACTAGAGCTGAACATCATCAGTCATCTTTCACTTTCAATGCAGAATATTATCAAGTAATATCTGGTGCTCCAACTATCACAGATAAGTATTATACAGTGATTGTAATTTTGTATGTCCAAGTCACTTCTATTTTGTCTACATAACTGGCAGTTAAATTATCAATGTACATTCAGTGTCTTATCAGTAAGTCATTGTAAAGTACTAAAAGGATGTAAAGCACCACACAAGTGCTAGGTTTTATTACTACTGCTTTCATATTTTTCGTAATAAAATTTATTTATTTATAACTGGAATTCTTTGATGTCTTATCTGTATAGCATAGTGTAACTGTGAGTACATGTGCATCCAATCACTGAGACAAAATAGCTTTTTAGGTTCGCAGTAGCTAAAAAGCACATTTGTGCTCGCCCCACAACACACACACACACTCCCTGTGCTGCACACAGGACACAAGCAGACACTAAACATGCTTTTTAGCTTTGTATCAGACAAATCCCAGAGCTTGAGAGTTATGCAGGGAGTTGGAGAGAAAAGAAAGGCGGGCAGGAAGTAGACACATGTTTGGATAGCCTCCTGAAGAACTGCAGATTCAAGTAACTCTTCCATCTTCATATCATTGTCCATAAGCAAATTTATACACTGGGCAACTCCAACACTCATATATACTTATAGGATCTGCATATGGAGCACAAAGTCCTTCATGCAAACAGAAATGGCACCTCTGTTCTATCACATCTGCATCATTTTGGAAAGACAATGATGGTTAAACACTTCAGGAGAGAGACAGGTGAGACTCCAAATGGAGTCAGTGGGTCCCCTAAGGCTGCCTGAGCTCTGCAAAAGCACGTAGCCTGGCTACACAAGGCAGTTCCCTCACAGAAGTCCTGTGGGTCTGATGCAACCATTTGCCAGTTTCTGTACGGACTACACAGCCATATGCACCTTTCAGCTACTGACAGGGAGTAGTACCTCAAGTGTGCTTCTCAAGATGTGTCAACCCAGGCAGACAAAAAGACCAGAACCTCCTGGAAACCTGATGTAAAGACTGTGCTAGTCTTGGAGATGTGAGGTTCATGTCATGTCCTCACCTCCAGCAGGCTGCCTTTACTGACAGAAAGCTTACACTGAAGTACCTCATACTGGCAATGGCTCCGAGTCACTGTGAAGCCAAGTTACTTCAATGAGATGGCCAGATGGTAGAAATGCTGTAATGCTTTCTTTGTTGCTGCTGTTCCTCAAACTACCTAAAAGATTCCAAAGCCTGAGTGAAAACTAACATAAGGACTCTAATCTAAAAAAAAAAAAAAAAAAAAAAAAAGGAAGAAAAAGGGGGGGGTTTTTTTAGGGGAAGCAGGAAACGTGTACAGAAGAGAGATGAAGATCCTTTAAATGACTGTGGCATATTGTGATTCCAGAGCAAAATAAAGCATAATCCTTTGATGGAGACTTGCACCTCTTCAGATAAGCCAGCATTCTACAGCTGGGATGATCAGACCATCACAGCAGCTTCACAAGAATCCACAACATGGTATCAGCCTTAGGCATGTAACGCTTAATTTCGTACCAAAAGGAAACCCTCCTCTCTCAATTCTGTAGGCAAAAGGGTGGCAAAGCTGCCCCTCTGGTCCAGAAATTTATCTGGCTGGTACTGCCTAATAAGTAGTCAGCACAAGAGTAAAAAAAGGGAACTGGACATTTTTGTCTAGCATACCCACTTCTTACTGTCCTTGTCCCCAAAGGACTGAGGCTGCTTATAAGTAGTTTTGACCATTGATAACATCCAGAACACAAGAAACCTGGCAAACATCAAAGCCTTTGTCTAAGTTTCCATGGGCATGAGAGAGGACCGAAGGGTTTCCTGGAGCTCCCTGTGAGGCTAGAGACAGAAACATTAAATAGGACACCTCATTAAATAATGAATAACATAAGGCAAATTATATGCCTACTTGGCCTCCTCACCTAAAGGCATCAAGACAAAACAATAAACTCATTTCATGAATTTTTGGAAAGAGTTCGTTCCAATCACTTGGATATCAAAAGACAGTCAGCTCCTCAGTAACAGAACAGCACCTATCAGGTAAGCAGACATGTAACAGCCAGGGTCAGAAGTTGGTTTTAAGTAAAACTTTCATGCTTCTGGACTAGTGAGCCTTAGCACACTGGCAGATGTCTGACACACGGCTCTTACCGTGGCAGTACAGGCACCCTGCTACTAGGATCTCTCAATATCCAACCTGCACAGGAAAAACAGAGGCAGAACATCACATAGAAAGAAGTAAAGCCAAACAGGTTGGAAGCAACAAACAACAGCTTTAAGAGACAAGTTGCCACATGCAGAGTCCTCAATACACAGAAGATAATAAATCCAGGAAACAGAAATAGGCATGGCACCTTAAAGTACAATGAAAATGAACAGAAGAGAAGGAAAAAAACCCCAACATAGCACTGCAGTTTCCTTCTGTATTGGATAGTTATTGAATTGAGATGGGAAACCTCCATCTTTGTATTTTTACAGTGAATGTAAGAGGAGGCAGAGTGATTGGTCCCATTCATGTTTACAAACCTTTGTAGCGAGCTGCGAGTAACTTCACAAGCTGCTTGCAAAATTTTGCCACCAATAATAGCAGTTTTGTAGCAGCATTCCCTATGACAGGATTGGTGGTAGATGAAAGCTTATAAACAAGTTCATCCAAAACAGAGTGAAGGGTCTCTTCATCAACCTGAAGCAAGACAGAACTTTAAAAAGAAGAAAAAAGAAAAGGCAGGGAGGGGGACAGAATTGAAGTGTTAATTACAGACTATGAGCTTTTTAACAGTGATTTATTTTTAGGTATGTCAGGCATTCAGCAAGCCAACATACCCAGCTAGCTGGACCAGCAATCTGATCCAGGCACTACCACTGTTTCAATCAACTGATTCCCATTCCCTCAATTTAACAACATGATAAAGAAAATAGCTATTTTTTCTATTTCTACAACAAATATTAGGAAAACAAAAAAAACCCACAACAATTCTTGTATATAAAAAAGTTCTGTTTTACCAAGCAGTAATGAACTGAGTTTTAAATTTAAAATTCAGAAAAATCAAGGATATGAAAACAACTAACCTATTGACCCTCAAAATATTGTGTAAAACAGACATCATTGTAATTGCTGTTTCAACATCATCTGTTATTAACAGCTGCAGGAAGTGATCATTTTGCAGTACTGCAAAAAAACCAAAAACAAGCAAATAAGAAATCCCGCAATCAGAACCAGACTTGAAAATACCATAAAACAAATAAACTTCATTATGGAACATAAGCCATAGCAAGTAAAACCAGATACTGTTTCTGGAACAATCTCCCTCTTTTATAATTTTTACACTGAAATTTACTGGAATAAGCAAACTACTTCAACATCCAAAAAACCTGTTGAGCCCTGTTTTTTCTGCCTTTGGATATCCCTCTGGTGTTGCAATGGAATAAAAGCTTTAAAAACCTTTTATGTTACACTAGTACCAGTTTCTTATTACAACAGTGGAATTATCACTGGGGCAACAATATCTGGAAAAGATAAGGACTTCAACCTTGACAGTTTGTTATACCAGGTTTAATGCAAGTCCACTGATGTCATTAAAGCACCATCTTTTTTATTCCAGTGTATCACTGTCTACATAGTCAGTAATTTTTATGGCTGTGTGTGTTTTTAGTTACACTTCTTATGATCCTTAGGGGTTTGTTCTGTAATAGAAACAAAACCAAATTCTGCTTTTTAAAATCAGTGTGATTAACATCAATTTAATTGAAAGGTTATTTTGGTCAGAAGTGTATAGTGAAGTTTGTTAGGTATTTGTAAAATTTCCTGGCATGACAACAACTTCAGAAATCTGTTTTCAAGTCTATCCACTTTTCAGGGCTGACAATGTAATCTGGTCAAATTTCTGCATATGTTAATCACACACAGGTAAAAAGATCAACTGTATTTTATTGGTAAAAAAATCCTATTTTTTTAAGGTATAGAATTACAAAGGGAAATTACAGGAAAACCCTTTTAATGTTTGTCTCCAAAAGACTAGAAGGGGAACTCTAGTTTCCATTTGGTGGCTCTTTTCCATTTTAGATATTGCTGTTTCTGTTGAGTGGACTACTTTAAGAGATTGATTTAACATCGTCTCCAATTTAGAAAACTAGGTGGAGATTAGCTTAGAAGTGATTCTTGATACCTGTAATTTCCATAAATAAATTTTAAGATGTTTTATGGGTTTACTTTTTCCTTACCGCATGCTGCTAGTTGAATATGCCCACCGAACAGCCAGCAGATGGCATCAGTTACTGTTTGGAACCAGCGTAAAAAATCTTGTTTTTCTTCATCCTAAACAAAAGAGAGGTAGGTAAAAGCATGTGTATGTATCTTCACTGAGGACTTCAGCTTGATGTAGTAGGAAAGTTCGTATGCTTCAGGGATTTGGAGACCAAAACTCCATCAAATTCCTGAATGAGGTTGGTGAAACCATAGGAACCAGTCAGAAAAGTAACTTGCAAGTTCTTCCAAGGCTAGAGATCAATCAACAAACTCTAAACATACTAAAAAAAGCATCCATTCCTGAAAAAAATTGTAACAGTGAGAGAGAAGTCTTGTTTGCTCCTTAAAAAATATTTGATAGCATAGGAGGACTAATAAGACAAATAATAGCTCAGTACAAATGCATCATAGATTTAATCCACAAAGTGGGAATTATATTATTTAAGGTTAAAGCACAGGAAAAAAGGGTACAAAGTGGGCAAGGACACAGTTAAAATGGAAAAGGTTCCTAAAAACTGGTACAGTGAGGCTTCAGAAGCACATCCTCGGTGGAGGTCTGGGAGCAAACACCAAACCACTATTAAACTGAAGTTTGATCAGTTTGCCAAACAGACTATGTTATGTGCTTGCCTGTGATAACACTGGACTGGAAAAAATGACCAGGAAGAATCCAGGTTTGAACATGTGAACACACAGAGAGACACACAGCCTAGAGTCTATGTTCCAGGTGTGAGCTATAGGCCACTGGAAATCTAAAAATCTTGGTGTGTGGGACAGCTAAGGGGCTTTTGATAGTACTACATTGCTGAAAAATGTTATAAAGCACTTGGCCTGATAGCTCCCATACTAATTGAGCCTCCACAAATGAAACTCTGGAAAGACTATTCCTAGATCTGAGCTGTAAGTTCCAGCCGTCAGTCATAGCTTAACTTTGTATTTGGTTCTTACTGACAATGAGAGAGAGAAAATCACAGTAATAAGTTAAGCTGTAATACTATCTGTTCTGTGTTTTGGCAATACGTCAGCTTCTGAAAGCTATTTCAGTACTTCCCTTGACTTCAAAGACTTGTACAAAAGGCAAATGAGGGCAGAATAAACTACAAATCTCCACTGGTAGAGTGGGACTTCCAAAGTTCCACTGAGCAAGCATCAAGTCTGGGTGCCCAGTCACCTCTGAGACCACAAGGTTTAAAAGCCAAAGCACTAATTACAACGTTGACTGCATTTGCATTCAAAAGAAATCTTTGCCCACAAGCATGACTCAAGTAGCATGTAGGCTGAGACATAATAAGAAAGTGTGGGGGAAACTACATATTGCGGATAAGACTCGAGTCTCCTGGGATGTCATTCAGGAAGCTTCCTTCTTAAGCACTAAATGCACTTCTGAAGTATTGAACTAACAGAAAGTATGTTGGTCTACTGATACTTTCTGAGAATTGATTGTGATTGTGGTGCCCATCACAATACTCCACAGGAAAACTCTGACTAAGTACAAGAAGCCAGTGAGCCAAAAAATGAGATACTACGGGGAAATGGGGATATTAAAAGAAACTATCGGAATCCATGAGGTTGGTTATTTAAATTATTTGTGGGTTTCATTTGTTGGTTTTTCTCCTTCTGATTCTGGGACTCAGAATGCTTCAAAAGCATGAGGGAACCTAGCTGGGCAAAACCCTTCTTCTCTGCAAAGAGGGAGTGAAAAGTGAGAAAGTGTTCAAATCTACAAATTCACACAGTCTGCTTCTGAGGTTCCCAACATGCAGGTTCAGCAGCAGTGAGCATTTTTTTAATTTTTTGCCAATTTCATGGCAGAAATTGTATGGCAAAACAAACTTCAACAAATCTGATTTAAAATCTTAAGACTTCCTAAACCTTTTTTTGTAAAACTGAATAAAGCAGTGGGAACACAGCCATTACAAAGACTGAACTAATTATATGCAAAGTTAAAAAGACACTACCGTGACTGGGATGCTGTCTATCATACAGCTCTAATTCTACCATCCTACTTCCACTGCATTTCTTCCCCCTACCTTTAAAACTTGTGAAAGGTAGTAGCCAAACTCTGTACACAAACCTATGGTAATCAACTACAAACTAGCTTTCCGCATGTAATGGACCGAATGCTCCACAATAAGAGATTTCAGTTTCAAAGCTCCAAGGCATAAGAAAAACTACTGTAATTTCTGGAAAATAAATTTTCATAATACAAGTGTCCCTAGAATAATTTCCTACTTATAGAATACGTAACCTTGGAAAGTTGACAGAGGTTCTCTGCTCTTTTAACTATGAAATTTAAATACCTTGAGTGCTCGGATAAATCGTGCTTGCAAGCGTCTTCCCAAAACCAGCAGGTTGTCTATAGCTGAAGGAAGAAATTTCTTGTAGAATTCCTCAGGATCTCCTTTCACCTCTAGACCTACACAACAATGACTGAAGGGGGGGGAGAAAAAAATCAACCTGAATAGTCGAGGGCCTGTTTGAACAGCTTTGAATGAATGTCACGTCATCAGAGAAGAAATGCTTCACTGGCATGGGACAATGCAACACTGAACAACAGTTAACTGCTGTGACTGGCTCCAAGGTAGCTGCCTCAAAAGGAGGAGGAATCACTGGCAGGCTGGAGACAGCAAGTATATTACTATTTATTATAGCATGTCTCAGTTTAAAACATATCAAGGCACTTTCTCCTTTAGCTTCATAGGATCTGTTCAGGCTTGCTCCACATGCTAGGGAAGGGCTCTGATGGTCAAAAAGGCAAAATAGAAAGGTAGACAAAAAAACTGATACAGGAAGCCTGAAGATGAAGGGGGTGCAGAGCAGGCAACAAAAATACGTATAAAAAACATATTACCACAAAATCTTCAGCAAGTCTGTCTACAACTTTCCTCCAGCTGAGGAATACATGTAGGCTAGAAATCAGTTCTTCAGATCTCACTTTTCTTATTTTACTCACTGCAAACATGTTGGTCATTTCAGGAAGACTTTTTACAAGAAACTGCATGTTTTACAACTGGGAAGTTTTTCAATTCTGTACTCCGCACTGATACTAGTTCAACAAAAGAGCCTTCCTAACTTTTTATGAATTTTACTTTCTGACACCTTGTCTAGGCTTTGTTAGCTTTTTGTGAATGCACACACGTAAAGCTTTGCTTACCAAAGCCCTTGGAAAGCAAATTCTAGGCATGAAGCTGAGATTCATCTAGTTACAAAAGGACATTTTTATAGCTAAAATAAATTTCAGTTTTCTCTGCAAACTGAAATAGCTTATAGGGGATGATTTAAGTATCACACAACTCTGGTGATAAATCTTGCGTCTCTTAGTGAAATTCCTGGCATTAAAAATTCATACTGCAGATATGGCATAAATAAGAGATGGCTGCCTAATTGCTTCATGCCTCAGAATTTTGCTCCCTAGTTAAGCCAAAATCAGGTACAACTTGGGGAAGATTTAAAACTTAGTATTTGTCCTGACATTGAAGATTGAGATTGGATCACTGGGGATTTGAGTTTAAAGTTGTCTTATTTACTAGCTATGAATTAAACTTAATAATGCCATTCTTACAAAATCACTACATCAAGCTATCTAGTCTGTATGAACTGTGTCCTTTATTATGTCTAAAATGTAAATAGATATTTAAAATAGGTGTATCAAATAGATATTTAAACAGAGTCAAGCCAAGATGTGAGTCAATCAGGCTAGAAGATTTTTGCAAGATGAAATCTCAGTAAACAAACTTTTTTAAATAACTGCAATTCAAAATCAGCAATTACTGGGCAAGAACTGTGACACTGATGAGTACTGTTCACAAAAAAAAGGTAAAGCCAACACGAAAACTGTTCCCACCAAGCAGTCTACCTAGCTCCATGAAACACAATGCGAATGAATTAAACAGGATCAATTAGGCTATGCCTGACCCCTCTGCTCTTGACTGCTCCCTGCACTTTAACCCCGGCCTTTCCTGAACAACAAGCCTTGTTCTGGATGGGAGCCAACATATTACAGCTTGAAAAGAAAAAGAGCAAGATGAAAGGCCAGAAAGAAAACAAGAAGAAAACTTCTTAGCAATTTTTTTTTACCTTAGTATCTCTGCTAGCTGGGCAGCGGTAGCCCAGCCCCCACACAGTCGAGAGTGGTCTTGTCTAAGGACCAGCATGCAGTACTGTGTAAGATCATAATCATATATATCTTGCTTAATTTTTTTGGATTCTTCACATCCCAAGGAAGCACTATTTAAAATTCCTGTGGGAAGAAAGCAGGAGAGACACAGAGAGGAGCGTAAGATTCTGACATGCAAGATTTATTTTGTCTTTTTCCAAAACATAAGAGAAGTATGTGTAGACAGAGCCAGGATTAAGGTAATTCTAAAAGTGCTGACAACAGCATAAAATATTTTGTCAGCATTTTTCACTCCTACAGCTACAATCCATTTGTTAGATTTGGGAAGGACAGCTAAACTTAGGTTTCCATTTTCTCATTACACTTTTAGTAGTAAAACATACATTACCTGGGATATAGCCCATTCGTATGAACTTCCTAGGCCAGATAAAACCACAACCACTGTGAAACATATAGCTTCCTTATAATTACATCCCAATTTAGAACAGGACCTAACTTGTTTCTACCGTTTCTATGAGCAGTGGCTATGTGGCAAAAAGAAAGACAGGGGGAGTCACACAGGAGCTCGCAATTGCGTTTCTATGCTAAGACTTAAAAAACTGAATACTGACGACCACTCTGGCTCTCTACCCAAAAGCACTGGGAGAAATGGTTTGACCGAGTGTAAGATCCTTGCCCACATCAGCAGGAGTCTCACAAACACGGTGACAGCTGAGAGGGAGAAAAGACTTCCCCTCCATTTGCCCCCCAGCTCCTCCTCCTTATTGTTGCCAAGCCAAACGCCACTCAATATCACTCTCAGGAAAAGCCGTATTATCAACCTTCCAGAGTTTCCAGCCCTGCCAGAAATATTCAGAAAAACCTTCTGTATATAAGGAGGCAGAAGGAAGATAAGCTGTCCAGACTTTACTACCTCATCCTTTTATTTTAGAAACGGTATTAATTACCCTTTAACTTCAGAAGTAGCAGGGGGATGTCCTGTTCTGGACTCTCAGTGACCTGAGCAGCTAAGGCCAGTACCCGGGGGTCTGCAGCTGCCAGCCCCGCGCTGGGCGCGTTGGCCATAGGAAATGGAGAGAGGCCCGCAATACCATCGATTCAAGCCTCTTTCCCTTTTTAATTGCCTCGATGCGGGCGCGGGGTCCTTAAGCCACTACTTCCATCAAACCTCCAGCTCCTGCACCACCAGCTGGAAGCTGACGCTCCGCTCCGCGCCTCGGGCTGCAGGTCTCCCCCTGAGGAAGGAAACAAACATGGAGGAAGCCCCATCCACGCTCCTTCGCGTCGCCTCTCGAGGCCGCGGGCAGCGGGACTGGCTCTGCCAGCAGCGCAGGGCTCCAGCAGGGCAGCCCGAGAGAGGCCCCACGGGGCGGGCAGCCGGGGAGGCCTCCCTGAGGGCTGCCAGCATCACCTCAGACACGGGGGAGGGGGAAGGGGCCGCGGAAGGGCGCTGCAGGCCAGCAGGGCGGCGAGGGACAGATGCCCTCGCCCGCCAGAGTCACCTCAG